AGGAAAGCCTGCCCCCCTGGAGGAGACTTTTGAGTTGATGGGGGTGGGAGGGATGAGAGAGGAAAGAGCAGGGTGTGTCCCTGGCGGAGGGCACAGGCTCTGAGGATGTGGGAACTGGCACGGTGAGAAAAACAGAGCAGCTCATCACTGTGCTCCAGAAGCAGTACAGTGCATGTCAGGAAGCCGTCTGCTCATATATGGGGCCATTCGTCCAGGTTTTACCGTGAAGGCGGCTTCCAACCCCTCACTTTCCAGACTGACCAGGCCCCAGTGGGAAGGATGCGTCCACACTCAGACTCGGAAAGTCAGCCTCAGGCTCAAGGCAGATCTCCTGGGGAGCCGAGCAAACCAAGTGCGTGAGGCCCCCGACCAGCAGGGAGCTTCTCGGGCCTGGGGCTGATTTGTATTTCCCATTTTGACCTCTCTCCCTCCACATGTGCAAAGCTCTGTGCCCAGCAAACTGGATTCACCTCTTGCCAGATCTCGGGACTTCTGGCTTCAAGCCAAACACACACCTTAGTGCTGCCTCTAACTGTTGGGGTAGGCCGTGGGCTACACAGGGGAAGACCCCCTTTTATTAAGGGAGGGCTCCCCACGGCTTGGGGCAGGGCAGAAGCTACACTCGGTCTGACGCTGCTCCTTGTCACAGGGCCCAATCCCTATCAGTGACGATGGCCACTGTGAATCACTTTTGGTTTCCATCTCACCCCAGGAATTGTTTGTTCTTTGCAACCCAGTTTCCCCAAGTGACAGTACATCTTAATGAGCTGTTTCCCAGTGATAGCTTGTTTCTGGTTCATTTACCAATCGATAAACAAATCCTGTGTCAAAAAATCCTCCTTCATCTTTCATACCCATTCTAGTACATGTCTCTTTTGACTTGGTCTGTCCAGGACTTGTTGTTAGAGGCTATAGGACATACGGGTTGTTGCGGGGGGGGTGGGTCCTAGAGAGTGGCCTGCTTGGGCCACCCAGCCTGCCATGCCCAAGTACTGATCCTCCAGGATTTCCCGGGTGAGTGTGGCAGGGACCGGCCCCTCCCACAATTACCTGTGTGCTCTCTGGAACACGCTCCATCAAGGCTGGGAGACTTGGCTTGCTGTGTCTATCATGCTTGGCCCATGGGGGTGCTCAGTCAATAATTGCCAATGAATGAGTATATATGTTACCCCAAATTTTGAGTTCTGATGCCCTGCCAGCAGATGGAGTGATAAACGTCATAGCAAGCAATGACTGTAATTACTAATTTGGATTTACCCCAATATTACCCTGAATGTAATGCATAATTAAGGCAAATCACTAAGGCTGTGAAACAAGGATTTTGCTTTCTAACAAAAAGCAAATGCGTATCTTATCCCTGCATCTCTCATCTACAGTGAGCTGTACTCATATGAACCAGAGTGCTTTCCTTCTCAAAATGTCACCAGAATTATTTTCAATATAATTTGATGAAAAGTACTTAATATTTCTTCCTCCCCTCCCCCAAAGTCCCTATTAAATAGATCCCCAACATGATGTATACAAGGAAGAGGTGCTTTATTGAGTTTCAGAGTTAGTGTTTCCCAGTTCTGGTGGCTCCTCAGAACTCATGAGGCCTCACCTCCAACAACCCCACGACGTTATAAATGCAGGACCCCCAAGGCCCAGAGAGGGCATCTGAGCAATGACAGTAAGAAGAGATGATTTTAGAGCCCTTATCACTTACATGGTGTTGCCACATACTTTCATCTCATCTCATAAGGACCCTGGAAGGATGTATCATTAGCCTCATTTTAAAGGTGGGGAAATTGAGTCTAGTAGGCCTTCTGAGACTTGCTCAAGGTTACAGGAATCAGTAGACATGTTAGCAGACCCTGAAGGTAGATCTTGTGACTTCAGGTCAAGGACCGCTGGATGCCTAACAACATGAGGGCCAAGGCAGACTTGAGAATGGGAGTAGGTCGCCTGATCCCCAGGGCTCCTGCAGGCACCTTGTGCCACCATCCCTGAAGAGAGGAGCACCTACTATATAAATTGCTATTTCAAAAAGTAAGGTGTCTCTAGCTGAAAAGTCCCCTAGAGGGACTCATTTTCGCACCCACTGCTCCCAGGCCCTCCTTTTATCTCCTTGTAAAAAAGAACACCTTTTGTCTCTGTTTCTCCAGGACTGGACAGCGACTTCCTGGCCGTGCTAAGTGATTACCCATCTCCTGACATCAGCCCTCCAATATTCCGAAGAGGGGAAAAACTGCGTGTGATTTCTGAGTGAGTTAGCTTTCAAAAACTTTCATGACACCCCCCAAAAGGATGAACCCAATTTAGACGGAATGGTTGGGTTTCAGCTAACCTTTCCCATAGGGGCCAGTTCCATAGGAGCCCTGGTTCTACTGTGAAGTGAGAAATTTGGCCCATACAGAAGACCTTAATGTTTCATCTTCCTTAATGCTTCCAGTGCCCGAAAACCTTCAGTGGCTCCCCATTGCCTATTGGATAACAATTTAAATCCCTTAATGTCTTTTGAGACTCTTTCTGATCCAAACTCTGCTTCTCATATTAGCCTCACCTCCCACAACACATGCGCTGTTGATATTATCGGCCAGTGCAGACCCAGGAAGGAGGACCCAGGGGTCTGCAAAACCTCTGACGATAAACAAACAATATTGCCTTCGATCCTGTTATCTCTCCCTGATTTGAAATAAGCTATAGAACAAATGGGAGCTCTAATCCCCTTTTATTTAAATCCTCATGGACACAGACATAGAAAACAGTCTTGGTTATATCATAGGGTATAAATCAGTAGACCACACACTTATTTTTAAAAAGCCCCCAATTGTGGAACGTCAGCTGGAAACATCTGCTGATCTCTGGTGGCTGTTGCCAGCATGTGGGAAGATTTCCTAATTAGCTTGGAATGGGGGAATATACTTAAACAACTGAATTTTCATATGGAGAAATTTGGGTCAACATGGCCAATGATAGATCCTAAAACACAGTGTTGCAATGTGCCCCCCGCCCCCCCCCCAGTGAAATCCGATTACTCTGTTCTTTCATTCATTCATTTTGCCAGTTAGCTTTGACTCTTTCCTATCTGTCCTTGTTCTTGCAGTGAAGGGGGCTGGTGGAAAGCCATTTCCCTTAGCACTGGCCGAGAGAACTACATCCCTGGAATATGTGTGGCCAGAGTTTACCATGGGTGAGTACATGTCTTATAAGTTTGCACAGAGAGATTCCAACCTGGTACAGGGGAAAGGAAGGCATTGGGTTTGAGAAGGTCCCTTCTACTCTCAACTCAGTTTACAGAGAAGGGAGCCACCTTGGGCTAGCCCCTCCCCAACCTGAGACTCAGTGGCCCCACCAGGAAGAAAAAGGGGGTTAGACCTTTCAGCTCTAACTCGGCACTCCTGGCACATGGCAATAAACACTCAGAAGAAACAGGGACGCAGCGGAGCAGTGGCTAAATCAGTCTGTCTAGGTTCCAGTCCTGCCTCTGTCACTCACTGGCTGTGTGACTGTGGGCAAGCCACTCAACATTGCACATCAGTCTCCTTTCCTTGCCTGTCCACTAGAGATCATAGTACAAATATATAGAAATAATAATATAGAATAATATGGCCAAAGTATAGGGTTGTTAGGAAAGGAGAGGGTAATGCATGGACAGTTCTTAGAAGAACGCCTGGCTTTGCAGTGAACACTAGGCACATGGTAACCATGTTCTTATCCAGTCATAGGCAGAGAACACTTAGCACCGAACACGCTTACACATCCAACCTGACAAATGGAGAATCAAGCAGAAAAGGAGAAAGTTAAAAAAAATCAGTCATGAGGGTGAGAAAACAAGCGCACTGCCCTGTCTTGCAGCTGTGTGGGAGGGCCCTTGCGGCAGGCGGGCAGCTTTGGAGGCCGGCACACCCCGGCTGGGACCTGTGCAGCTCAGCTCCCCAACCTCCATGCAAGAGCCTTGGAAAGGTTAGGTGCCCTCCCGAGGCACAGTCTCATTTGTCAAGCTACCAAGGTCAGATGTTGGCCAAGAAGTGCACACTCAGGAGGAAGGAGGGAAGGAAGGAAGGAAGGAAGGAAGGAAGGAAGGAAGGAAGGAAGGAAGGAAGGAAGGAAGGAAGGAAGGAAGGAAGGAAGGGCTATTTTTGTCTGAAGGGGTCCAGAAATATACTATATTTAGAGAAGGACTTTGCGTGCCACATGCTGTCGATGAAACAGGTGACTGCCTGAATATTTGGAAGAATGGCATTCGGTACATTTAATTGTAGTATTACCCATCTGGATCCTGAACACCAGAGCCGTATCTGTGCTTAGCATGATGAGGGTGAGCGGAAGTGGGGAGCAGCCGCTTGCTATGAGAGTTACGTTCCGTAATGACTCTCCTAAGCCAATCCATTCATTCATTTCGCAAGCCTGTCCCAACACCTTCACGCTGAAGCTGTGGTGCTGAGTGCTGGCAGGACCAGAAGTGGTGAGGAGCCCAGATGAGTAAGATGTCATCATGACTGTACGGAGCTTCCAATCTAGCCAATGCAGTAAATGTCTTTAAAATATCAAATAGGAAGAGAGGCAGTGCCGTACAGTGGTTATAAAACTGTCCCAGAAGAATGCATTCCAATTATAGCTCTGGCAGTTGCTGACATGGAGTAACTTGGATACTGACCTTCCGTATCCTCATCAGTAAAAGAGAGATAATACACCTCTCGTAGGGGGTGGATGTGAGGACTGGATTTCAAGTGCTTAACATGGTATGTGGCCATACTTAGTATTTATACACGGCTATTGTTATTGTTTTACTGTCTTCATTTTTATAAGTGGAATTTCAGTCAGGACTTGGAAGGGTGAATGTTTATCATGTACACTAAAATAGTTAACATGCCCTGCATTGTGCAGAACTAAGGAGCAGTGGAACTATTTGGCCGAATATGGCATAATCATAACCTTAACAACAAAAGCAGCCTTGGAGCCCAGGACATGAATAAATGGCATTGGTGTTATGCCCGTGGGCCTTCTCACACGGGGTGCTGCAGGGGCATCCGGCCGGCCCCTCCGGTGACCTGCCTGCGTGCCATGGGGAACGATAAAGGGCGGGCTCAGCAGGGCATTAGTATTCACCACAGCCCGCACCAACACCGACCTGAGGGTTAAAGCCAGGGTACGTTCACCGAAATGCAGAGCCTGTTAAAAACAAGGATGCACGAATGCTTCTGAGCACACACCAGCCAGCGGCTCGCACGCATTTCCTTCCACGCTGAGACGGGGCCAGGCCTGCTCTGCAGAGCGAGGGCGGGCCGCTCCCTGGGAACACAGACTGCTTTGTGCACAGAGCTCTTTCTAGAAGGGACTCAAAAGTGCTGGCTCGCCCACGGGAGGCGCACATTCCACTGGAAAGCTGGGTTACAGTGTTACAGCTGCTTTTTTATATGAAGTGAAAAAAGCAAGAAACACATGTAAGTGAATATGCAATGACAACTGTTTTTAAAATAGGTTGCAAAAGAGAATACAAGGAGGAAATGTAACAAATGCCAAGTGGCGCTTGCTGAGTTGGTGGAATAATGCACCATTTCTTTCCTTCTTCCTTGTGCCCTTTCGTTCATTCACAAATATATACCAAGCTCATCCACCTGGACACGAAAACGAAACCCAAAAACAAAACCCAAAAACGAAACCCAAAAAAGACAGACAGAGGCCCTGCCTTCATGGGGCGATGAGAGAGGGGCCGGGTAGTTAGATGATAAAAAAAGAGAGACATTAAAGGAACCACCACGTAGGTGCTTTGCCAAGCTTTAGGGCGCTTACATATTACGTAGTACAGATGGGCACAGTCCGGCTGGCATCTGAGAAGCGGGGAAGAAAGGCCTGTATGCATCTAAACGCCTGGCCTGCAGTGGGCACTAAGGAATTCTATTTGAAAGATTAACAGTATCAATGAATGAATGAACATAGGGCCAATCGCTTAGTCTTTTTCATCACAACAGTTTTATGTTAACTGGCCCTCGATCTTAGTTTCCACACGTGCCTGTCTTTTGTGGGGAGGGTGTGCTCTGGGTACTCATGCTGTTTTCCTGCTTCCCAGCTGGCTGTTTGAAGGGCTGGGCAGAGACAAGGCCGAAGAGCTGCTGCAACTGCCTGACACGAAGATTGGCTCCTTCATGATCAGAGAGAGTGAGACGAAGAAAGGTGAGCAGCCTCTGACTCGTCTTTTCGTGCTCGGTTCAGACCAGCAGGTTAGGCTCCTGGCTGACTCATGCATTATACGGCTCATGTTCCCTCCTCCCACGAAGCATGCAAATCAATCCGATGTGGTGAGCTCCCTGCAGCCCACACACCGCTGGTGAGGCCAGCATCAAAGCTAGGGGACTAGATGCAGGTAGTGGGGACCCGGACCAATATCAGGCCCTGCTGACTCCTGCTGGACAGCTTCCCATCAACTGAGAAGAAAGGAAAGCACTGAGTGGAGAGAGAGGATGGGCTTTGGACTGGGCCTGGCCTGCGCTCTCAAGCTCTCAGATTGGAGCAGGTCATTTACTTCCCTGAGCTCAGTTTTCTCATCTGTGAAATGGGAAGAAAACTCCTCCCTTGTAAGGTTGTGGATTGATTCGAATGTATTTATGATATCTGTGCTGGTCTTGCTACATAGGAGACCCCAGTACAAGTTCCCTCTGTGCCCAACAATGAAATCAGATATCTTCTAGGATCAGGACCAGCAGGTACATACTCTTATGTACTCACCCTGATCTTTATCAGCATACTTTCTTTACATGCTACGCACTAAGTAATTCAGTGAAAACGACATAGCAGAGCTTTGCCGGGTCCAGAGCAAGGGTCCTCAGTTCTAGTTCCAGCTGTGTGGATTATGTAGAGTCACATCTTCTCTCTAAGCCTAGGTCCCCTTATCTGTCTATCACATGGGATTAGCAAGAGGAAAGTGCTTCCCATTGCATCTGGGATGTAGTTTAGGCCCTTAAACCAGTAGACGCAAGACACTAACACTTGGGCTTTCCCAGGCTAAGGAAGGGTGATAATAACTATTTAAGCAGAAAAGATATTTCCAAGTTCTCAGCCTGCTTCTTGCACACTCACTATCCAAAAAGAGAAAACACAGTATCTAGAAGTATTTTTTGAGCATCTATTAAGCGCCAGAGCTGCTGAGTGCTGGGGCCCTTCACCAAAATGAGCAGCAGCCTTACTTTGAGGAAGCAGAGACCATATATACATAATAAAAAATCCCCTCAACTTTCCCCTCAAAAACCTTAATGTGCTGGAGAAGAGCAGAATCAAAGCAAAGGCAAGATCCCTGTGCATGTTCCAGGGTCCCGGAGGCAGGGCACTCAGATCCGAAGCCTCTCCGCTGGTGTGGCCAAGGCTGGGAGAGCCCAGCTTGAGGTGCCTGAGCTGATCTAAAAATAAAGATATCAGGCAGCTCTGCAGCTGGGCCGGGCCGGGCGGGGTGGCAGCTCCCTCCCCTGGGTATGCAAAGTTCTCATAAGTTTCCACCTGCTGCCCTTGACCTACTCACCCTACTGTAAGCCCCCACTGGTATTCCCGGAAGACACATGCTGGGGCGACTCAGAGGGCAAACCTGGCGCCAAGCTAGGGACGCCCCCAGAATGCCAGTCTAGACGCTTGCTCAGGACAAGGGTCCAACCCCAGGTCTGCCATTTCCAAGCTGCATACCTCTAGCCATGCCACTCAGGGGCTCTGAGCCTTAGTTTCTCCACCTGTAAAGTATCTGGAACAATACCTCCCCAGGTCTCTCTGAGAATGAATGGAGATGTTGCTGGGAGACAGTTGAGCCCAGCTCAGCACAAGTAGTAAAGACTTGGTAAAGCCCGGCCAGGTGTGGCTCAGCGGTTGAGTGTCGACCTAGGATCAGGTGATCCGGGCTCGATTCCCGGTCAGGGCACATGCCCGGGTTGCGGGCTAGACAGTCGATCAATGACTCTCTCATCATTGATGTTTCTATCTCTCTCTCTCCCTTTCCTTTCCTCTCTCTAAAATCAATAAAGATATATTAAAAAAAAAAGTCCTTTAGAAAACGTGGACATAGTCACATAAGAAGGAGTAGAGCCAGTGCCCAGCCACCATTCCTGAAGTCTGCAGTCTCCCTCTACACCACATTGCCTCATGGGACAAGGTTGGGGGGACTTTAGCATAATGAAAGAAAACTTTTGTAATTATAAATTATCATTCTCAACAACTAGAGCTTCATTTATTATTATTATTTTTTAAAATCCTCACTTGAGGATGTTTTTTCCATTGCTTTTTCAGAGAGAGTGAAGGGAGAGAGAGAGAGGGGAAACATCAGTGTGAGAGAGGTGGGGCCAGGGATCGAGCTTGCAGCCGAGGTATGTGCCCTTGACTGGGAATCAAAGCCGAGACCCTTCAGTCTGCAGGCTGATGCTCTAACCACTGAGCCAAACTGGCCAGGGCTCAACAGCTAGAGCTTTAAAATGTGGGATGTACATTCTTACAGAGAAATGACCTCCCTGGACTGGAGGTGTCCAGCGAAGGTGCTTTAGAAGGGGTTCCTGCTCTGGTAGGAGCTCCACAAGATATACCCCCAGCTCTGAGGTTCTATGGGTGGTGAGTGCTAACAAGAAACTAGGTATAGTGCAAAGTCAATATGCAACCCAGGAACAAACCTGGTGTTTTCAAGGCTGGATGCTGGGCAGGAGGGAGGCCTTGGCCACCCAGTCCCAGAGCACAAACTCATGTCTTGGAATTCTATCCCAACTCACACTTCCTTGATTCCCCTCTGTGGGGGAGGAGGCATTGGCACCTGGCCTGGGCAGAGGGTCGTGTGGATGTGT